AGAGCAAGGGCTAGAGCCCAGGAGCAGGGCTCATGAGCCAACGCGGCAGCCGTCACACCGATGTTAGACTATTCAGGGGGTGGCACACTCAGGAACGCTCCGCCACCTCCACAGAGGAGGACCGCGAGGTGTCACCAGGGTCCCCTCGTTCTCCTGAGGGTCCTGCCTCATGATCGCTTGAGAGGAGCTAAGCTGTAAGGGGAGGGCACAGGCCACTTGACAGCCACCCTGGGGCTTCTGCACCGGACGCACCTCCCTGGAAGGACCAGCCAGGGCCCTTAAGCCGCCTCCAGACCCACCATCAGCTCCCGGCCAACCTGAGGCGGGCGGGGCTCACGAGACCCCCAGGTCCCGCGGTACCAGCGCTGGCCTCAGACACAGCCTTTCTGCTCTCGCGAAGCAGGAGCGGGAGGGGCCGTGAAGCCTCTGGAGGGTCCCTCTGTCGCAGAAAGGGATCCGCTTGGAATCACGCAGCCACAGGCATAGAGGACTCGGTCTTGCAGGATCAGAGCAGAGGCTGGGAACTAAGGCGATGGGCTGCTCTGCCCTGGGGTCCGTACCTGGAGGCTGGCAAGTGACCATGAGCAAGCGAGGCCACGTCGCAGAGCCACTGCTTACATGGGGCTGAGAAATACACCTCCCAGCGCTATTGTTTTAAGGTGGAAATGAGGTGCTTAATAGGAATTCACTCCAAAAACTAAAAAGTGATGGGGCATCTGGGTGGCTCAGTCAGTTGAGCATCAACTCTTGATTTTGGTTCAAGTCATGATCTCTGGGTCGTGGGATCAAGCCCCGAATCAGACTCCATCCTGAGCATGGAGGTTGCTTGGAACTCTCTCTCTCTCTCTCTCTCTGATCCCACCCCCACCCCAGCCCCGCTCATAGGCGAGCGCTCTCTGTCTCAAAAATGAATAAACATAATGAGAAAGAATGAAATCTGGCCATTTGCAGCAACGTGGATGGAACTCGAGGGTGTTATGCTGAGTGAAATAAGTCAGGCAGAGAAGGACAGATACCATATGTTTTCACACATATGTGGAACCGGAGAAACTTAACAAAGGACCATGGGGGAGGGGAAGGGGGAAAAATAGTGAAGGAGAGGGAGGGAGCAAACCATAAGAGACTCCTGAATGCTGAGAACAAACCGAGGACTGATGGGGGTGGGGGAGAGGGGAGGGCGGGTGATGGGCTTGGAGGAGGGCAGTTGTTGGGATGAGCACTGGGTGTTATATGGACACCAACTTGACAATAAACTATACTTTAAAAGAGAATAAACATTAAAAAGTTGTTTTAGGGGCACCTTGATGGCTCAGTTGGTTAAGCGTCCAGCTTCAGCTCAGGTCATGATCTCAAGGTCCATGAGTTTGAGCCCCGCGTCGGGCTTAGTGCTGACAGCTCAGAGCCTGGAGCTGCTTCTGATTCTGTGTCTCCCTCTCTCTCTGCCCCTCCCCCACGCACCCTCTCTCTCTTTCAGAAATAAACATAAAAAATTTTATTAAAATTGTTTTAATCAGAAGCTATAAAGTGCTACATAAATGCCAGAATAGAAAGCAGCCTCTGTGTTTCTACTTCTCAAGTATGTCCAGAGAGTAACCTTCTAGCATCAAAAAACAGAATCACGTGGAAATCCCTAAGGGAAAAGAGGAAACTTTCATGGATCTTTGTGAGAAGATAAATTAACTCAAAATCAAATTGGCAATATCCTCTAAGCTGCAGTTGTTCTATGTGTAGGCAGAGAAGCTCTCCCCTGTCCCTGTGCCCAATGTGTATACAGCAGGCAGTGTGTATACAGCAGGCAATGTGTCTGCAACAAGAAACAACGAATGAGAAACAACCTCCGTGCCCATCAGGAGGAGAACCCAGGAAGTGAATAGAGTCAAGAAGCACTAAGGAAGTGAGTTCAACGGGGATGGGCTGGATTCGAGGTGGCGGATGGAGGGACGGAAGATGACGCCAGTGTCTCGAACTTGCTCGGCAGACCCGTTCAGTGCGACAGAGAGCAACGGAGAAGGGCCAGGTGTGGGGTGCTGTCACACCTTCCTGCCTGGAGGAGCACACGTGGATGTGTCTATGGCCGGTCGGACAAATGCTCTGAGCCGAGAAGCCTGGGCTGGAGACATACTGGGGGAGGGAGGTAGACGACCACCTGCAAATCTATAGCCAGGGCAGGTGAGACTGTCGAGGGCGGGGAGGGGCCCAGGAAGAGGGTCTAGGGCCGGTCTTCAATGAACTGCAGCTGTATTTTTTAACAGCTTTATTGAAATGGAAGTGACACGCAATACACAGCACACACTGACAGTGCGCGACTTGTTAAGTTTTGACACAGATACACCCACAGGTCCCTGATTACGTTCGAGATAACAAGCGTATCCCTCAGCCCCAAAGTCACCTCGTGTCCCTTTGTGACCCCTCTTCCCTCCCGTCCCCAGGCAACCCGGATCCGCTCTGTTGCTAAGACTCGTTTTCAGCTTCTAGAACTGGACACAAAAGGTATGACAACAGAATGTAACCTGCTTGGGTCTGGCCTCTTTCGTGCAGTCTAGTTACTTCTCGTGGTTTTCATTTTGTCCACATTGTTGCTTGTATCAAGAGTTGATTCCTTGTTATTGCTGAAGTGTATCTGTTGTAGGCATGCGCCGTAATTTATACATCACCAATTTATGGACATTCAAGCTGTTTCCACTTTTGAACAACTGCAAACACAGCACCGATGAATATTTGTGCACAAGCCTTTGTGCAGACACACACTGTAATTTCTCTCATAGACACCTGGGGCGTGGCCAGGTCATACATACAGAAGGCAGATGGTTAACTTTTAAGGAACCGCCAAGTTGTTCTGTAGAAGAGAGGACCATTGAAATCCCCCCACCTGCAATGTACGAGAGTTCCAATCGTGCCTGGGGGGCTCAGGGTTAAGTGTCCAACTTCGGCTCAGGTCACCATGTCACAGTTCGTGAGTTCAAGCCCTGTGACGGCTCAGAGCCTGCTTCGGATTCTGTGTCTCCCTCTCTCTCTCTGCTCCTCCCCCACTTGCACTCTCTCTCAAAAGAAATAAATATTTAAAAAAAAAAGAGAGAGAGAGATCCAGCTGCTCCAAATCTTTACCGATACTTGGCATGGTCAGTCTTCTCATAGTAGCCATTAACTTCTAGCCATTCTAATAGGTATTACTCCATTGTGGTCTTCATTGGCGTTTCCCTAGTGACTGATGATGAAACAATTTTAGCAACTGGAAGGAGACTGAACATATACAGGAGACCCAAAAGAGAAGACGGAGAGGCAGGTAAGAAGACCAGAAACATGCAGCATCGCGGAAGTCAGCACGAGAAATGACTCAGAGACAGTGGTCAGTAGAATCCATCGATGCGAATGTGAACTGAGAGTTCTCATTTGGATTTAGGGCCTTTGGGGACATTCCAGCAGCAACTGGTTCCAAGCTTCCAGTCTCTTTCGAGGTTCGCAGAACAAGAGTCTGCTGCCCGGCCTAGTGGGTGGCACCCCCTCCTCAGGTGTGTGGTCCCCGCGCCCCCTTCGGAGCCCCTGGGGGGGAAGCGCCAGCCGACGCTTTCACCGCTTCGCAGCAGCCCCAGGTTTCCGGAGGCTGTCACGGGCTCGTCTCCTGGGAAGCCCGCTGTGGGACGCAGATTAGCGTGCGGAAGTTGTATGAGAGAGTCACCCGTCACCACTGAGGACAGAGAGAGCAAGCCCGGGGGAGGCAGACGCTGGGCTGCGAGGCAGTGTCCCCTAAGGGCTCAGCCGATGCCCTGGAGGAGTCCCGAGGCTGGGATGGTCCTTCCGCCCCGTCCCCACGGGGACGCAGACACTGAGCCTCCGTCCCCTGCATGGACCAGTCATTGGACACAGCCTGCCCCAGGAGGGAGGTGCGATCCTGGCTGAGGGGCCTCTTCGGGTAAGCGTGACGCCCGTCGACAGTGACGGCTGAGGGCTGCGAGCCCCGTAACCCATTCCCCTCGGTCTTTTAGGGGGTTTGGGGCGGCACACTCAGCGTCCACGAGGTGTTTCTCCTCCACGTTTCCAGTGCTAATCACCCAGCCTCTTCCTCTGGCCCCCACCTCGGACGGAAGCCATCACCTGCCGTCACCATCGCTAAAGCACTTCAGAGTCTCCGGGCCGCTCCGGGGTGTCTTTGCCCATTCCAACACCCATTTAAGCGACTCCTTACACCAAACACTCTCTCTGGCCCTTCACGCTTTCCCGACACACTCCTCCAGCAGGGGAGGGTGAGAAACCCACCCTTGGGGGCTGCTTCCGTGTCCCAGTGTTCGAGTTGGATATAACCCAGGAAGGTCAACTCAGGAAACATCAGAATTATGTTTTGCTTTGAGCTCATGCATCCTCCACCCCCCACCCCCCCGAGACATCGGGAATAAACACATTTCTGCACAGAAACCTGGAATGAAATCATCAGAGAACACACATCCTGTGCGCTCCGTGTGTCTCCCCTGCATGCCCTCCGTGTGTCTCCCCTGCAGGGAGGAATGTGCCTGAACTCTCTGAGCAACTTCCAGCCTGAGCGTAATCCGTTTACTACATTGCTGACATATTAATGCACTAAATGGCTCCCTGGTGATCTGAAAATGTTAACACAGCCACAGCCTGAGCGCCTAACTTCAAGTGGAAATGACTCTGGCTCAGGGATAAGCGGCTGCAAAACAGTATAAAGGGGGGGGGGGGGACTGAATAGATCAACGATTTCTTTTTTTCCATTTCTCAGGCAGCGCCAGAATGGGTTTTCAGGACACGACGGACAGCGAGTCAAGCACATCCCAAATAAACAGGTACTTCCCGGTCACCAAGTGTCCATCACGACACTCATATGTAGTCATATTGGTTTTAGGAAGCATGTCTGAACTAGAATTCTCCGGCTCCCATCACCAGCATTAAGAAGTAATCAGAATACAACCTACTTCTGTCAGCCAGAGCACTTTTTATTAATGGAGAGAGAGCACAGTTCACCTTGTTGAGCTCACAGGGGGAGTTTAGGTCCTGGGAAGCACCACTCAGGTAGAATACCATGAACTTGATTGTGAGGAGGAAGCAAAACAGCATTATTACCAAAAAGTCCTCACCGATAGCTCTCCCCTCGCAAAAAATGTATTAAAGTCTCGAAATGTACAAATCTAAAAATATATTACAACATTTAACATTAAGACTCAAGTTTATTTTGTAAAATCTGCTTTAAAACATACGAAGCATTTCTCCCCCTCTGATTCTGTCTGTCTCCTGGACTTCGAGCGCCTTCTCTGTCCTTGGGGGAGAAGGGGGTTGGCCAGTTCCCGAGGCGGTGGCTACGAGGCTTGATCTGCAGACCGCTTGTGCTGGCTCCGGACGTGGCCCTCACCGCCAGGGGGCACCTCCTTCTGTAGGCTCGCCCCGCTAGTCTTTCCCGCGGTCTCAATCCAGGGGTGCTGAAGGACCTGGTGGGCGGTGTAGCGCTTTTTGGGGTCCACCACCAGCAACCGGCTCACCAGATCTTTGGCAGCTGTTGAAGGGCAAGAGGGGGGTGCAGTGAATGCAGGGGGCTCCGCAATGGTCTTCCCCGCACATGAAATAAGAGCACGAACATCCACGTCAGCACCCCACGCGTGCGAGGCTGGAGCAGCGCTGTCCCGTGGAACTTTCCGTGACGTGGGGAAACTTCCACGTCTGCACTACCCACGAGCGTCTGAAATATGGCTAGTGAGACTGGGGAGCTGAATGTTCATTCTCTTTACTTTCAACTACTTTACATGCAAAGTCCCATAGCCACGTGCAGCTACGGGCCACCATGTTGGGCCAGCCCGGGGCCAGGCCCAGCCGGGACAGCCAAGGCGCCCGGTGCTGGAGAGCAAACGGGGCCCACCTGCCGCAGGTCTATGGGTCTTACGTTCTGAAATTGATCGTCGGGCTGTTAAACAAAATACGCTCAGCCTCCTAAGCTGGTAAATATGCCTCCACGTTGACAAAACTGAGAAACGCGTGAAAGAAACCAGAGTAAAAAATAGCGCAGATACAGAATGAATGTCATTTTCTGCCCAAGACCATGAGTGATTCTAGAGAGGTGTGGTGGCAACGGGCGGGGCAGCTGGCAGGCGAGGAGGAGACAAGGGTTCCCCTGCGACTGGCTGGCTCTCCCCGGCCGGCTCCCTGAGCCTCCTTTTCAACTGCGGAGAACAGAAGCACCCACTTTTCTTCACCTTTACTGGGGGATGGCTCTTGCTCTAGATCAGCGGCTCGGCCACCCATCAGCTCCTCTACACCACTGTACAACCACCTACCGGGCTCGGAAGCCACAGGCTTTCTCCTGCCCCGCCCACCTCAAGCTTGACCCCACTCACAAAGTGCCCTGGTACCCATCCGGCCAGCATCACTCCGTCAAGGCCCTCAGAGGAGCAGGTCAGGTTTAGACTGGGAATTCTCGGACCCACATGGACATGTGTGGACAACGGGACACCAGGCCAACCTGCCCCAGGCCTCTCTACCCCTCTGAGCAGACGCCCCTGGGCTACCCTAAGGCACTGTGGGGAGTGGCTGGGAAAAGAGGTCTCCTCAGTCTTGGAAGTGGGCCTGCACCATTCTGGGGTCCTGATTTAGGGATCTAGAAGGGGCTCCGGGGGACACATCTCCTTGGCTCCAGAGTCTCCTCACCCTGTGGGCTGGGTATAACCAGAACAGGGCCCTCAAAGGCACAGGGCTCCAGGCAGGGGCCCCCATACCCAAGTCTAAGGACACTGCAGCACAGAACTTTCCAAAACGATTTTTAGCCCTTCGGTTCCCAGGTCACCGTTGGCTTGATCAGCTCAAGGCCCTCATCCACCTGCAGCAAGCCCCTCCCCTCCCCCCACCTTATTTAAGGGGGAAAAAAATGAAGCTTTCTCCTCCCCTCATCCGACAACCCCACGTAAGGAGACTGAGGCTGGGGGGTGAGGGCAGTTGGGCCATTAATCGAAGATGACATGGTTAGAGGAAAATTGAGGCAAAATAAAGTTCTCACTCCTACTTTTTAAGCTAAAAACTCAGAGACTCGAAATCCCTGAATGTCTAGTTCTGAATTCTACAGGGACACTGGATGACACTAACAAATCAGTAGCAAACAGGGTGGGGGGGGGGAGGAGTTGCATTTGAAAGGGCCAAAAAGGAAGACCCCACCCGCCTCTGCTCCACTGAAAATAGCTGAGGCCTTCACGCCCTACCTTCCTGGGCCCCTGGGCTCCCCTCCAGGACCCCAGGCTGTTCACCAGCAAGAGGTGCATTCCCAGTCTGTTCAGTTCACAGTGCTTCTATACGGGAGATGACTCGGATCTAGAACTTTCCAAATGAGGCATGTATGTTGCTGATATTCTTTAGCTCTAAGGGGCCTTCGTTGCCTTAAGGAAAAGAATCTAGGGACTGCAGCCAGGGGTCAAACTTTTTCACTGAATGGAAAGCAAGCCCTGTTCTGAGCGCCACACAAATCGACCTACACGGAGCCCACGGGAAACAGGAGGAGATGCCCGTCCACAGCCCACGTCCGCCCCCAGTCTGCAGTGGGCCCTCTGCGCCCCTCCTTCCACACCTAACACCTGCTTGGCAGTCCGAGCCCAGGACAGGCTGCAGCTCTAAGGCCCCTCCCCCCTGCTCGGGGAGGCCCGATCTCACCGTCGGAGACGCTGTCCCAGTACGGAGCCAGGAATTCGAAGCGGCCCAGCTGGATGAGGTTGAAGAGCGCTTCCTGGTCCCGCTCCGGGCTGCGGAAGGGGGGGAAGCCGCACAGGAGGATGTAGAGGATCACGCCCGCGGCCCACATGTCCACTTCCAGCCCGTAACCTGCGCGACAGGCAGAGACACAAGCGGAACTGAGACCAGGCGGGGTCAGAGGTGAGGAGGCAGACGGGGGGACCGTAGCTCTGGGTCGCAGAGGAGCTCCGCTTCCCGTCGGCACCGGCCACTTCCAGCACAAGGCGGGCTTTGGTGCCGGCTCCTGCGGACACGGGGTCCACACCGCCACCACTCCACACGTGGTCCTCCGACAACTGGCAGTGTGTCATCCTTTACTCCTAGTCTGTGATCAAGATAAGCGTAGAAACTGAACACCACATTTGGAAACTCACAACTTGGCGTGACCGTGACACCCAAGTGCATGACCAAGGGCACATCTCAGTGAAGAGAGTGTACGTCAGAGTTCGGGCTGTCGAACACACGTGGGAAGCCGCATGTGGCACAGGGGCGACCCAGTCACATGTAGCAGGGCTCTGTGCCGTCCCCGCTGTGTTAGAACACTTAAAACCTTCACCAGAGATGGTTCCAGAAGCCTCGGTCTACACCAGCAGCCTCGATGTCCTAGGCATTCATTGTCTTCTCACATTTAAAATTTATTTTTACTGGGGCGCCTGGGTGGCTCAGTCGATTAAGCGTCTGACTGCGGCTCAGGTCATGATCTCGCGGTTCGTGGGTTCGAGCCCCATGTCGGGCTCTGTGCTGACAGCACAGAGTCTGGAGCCTGTTTCAGATTCTGTGTCTCCTTCTCTCTCTGACCCTCCCCTGCTCATGCTGTCTCTCTCTCAGAAATAAACATTAAAAAAATTTTTAATACATATTAATATAAATTTTTTACTGACTCTCTTCTATGATTATAAAAAGACTAACATTACTTACTATCTAAACCCCCCATGAACACACAAACACATAAACACACACCCTCACACATCTACAATTCCTGTAATAAAATTAAAATCCCATTGTCCATATGTGATTATACCCTATTTCATTCTCTTAGTATATAATGGTATTTCCTATATAGGAATTTCCCATAAAGAATATTTACAAATCTTCAAGACATATGACTTCCGAGAGCTGTTAGGATTCCCTTTATATAAAAAACCCTCGGGGCGCCTGGGTGGCTCAGTCGGTTAAGCATCCAACTTTGGCTCAGGTCATGATCTCACAGTTTGTGGGTTCGAGCCCCACGTTGGCTCTGTGCTGACAGCTTGGAGCCTGGAGCTGCTTCAGATTCTGTGTCTCCCTCTCTCTCTGACCCTCCCCTGCTCATGCTGTCTCTCTCTCTCTCAGAAATAAATAAAAAACATTAAAAAAAAAAAACCCTCTATGATGTCATTTAAGTGTCCCCTAATTTTTTTACACTGTAAGTAATTCTGCGATGAACATCCTCATCTGTTAACTATTTCCGCACTTCTCTGACTGCATTCTTGAAATAACGTTCTGGAAATTAAATGCACGAAGAAACAGACAATGACGTTTCTGCTGGTGCCGCCCAGCATCCCCACAGCACTGTGTAACAGCAGGAGCTGCATTTTCGAACACCTGATAACTTTACCTTTGGGAAAGGAAATCTCTCGGCAGCTTAGAAGATAGATATTCACTCTGAAGCCCCAGAGCGATGTTGTCAAACCCAACCAGCAGAAAATTATAGAGAAACAAATCATTACTGCCCTCTACCTACCGACTTCTCCTATCTTCTCTCGGTTCTGTTCTACTCTTCGTGCTCAGGCGGGTCTGGTTCGGCTCGGCCTCCCATCTTGAAATCTGCCCCGTGGCCTCCGTGACACCGTACCTTCCTCACCCTCTTCCTGCCTCCGCTGCCCTGTCCCCCGATGACCCAGCCTTCTCTCTCTCATCCCCCAACCCCTGGCCTCCCTCTGGAGTCTGCCCCCCGGTGCCCTCACTGGCAGCATGGGGAGCTCATTACCTCGCCTGCTCAGCCGCCGTTCCCGAGCTGAGGAGCCTCAGAAACACATGCTCAGGCCAGGGCCTGACCTCCCTGCACACCGGATGCCCCCCAGGTCCATTCTCATGTCTCTAGCAGGTCAGTGCGTTTAAAATCTCAACCTGTCCACCCCCTCTCCCCAAACAGCTTTCCTTCTGACACCCTGAGGTGGTGCTGGCACCAGGTTCGCCTCCAGGGAGGCTGTTTGCCTTCCTTTTTTCCTCTCCCCCAGTTCATCGACACCTCCACTAAAATGTCAGTTCTGCTCAGGATTCTCTGGCCTCACTGTCTCCACAGCGCCATGGCCACTCGGCCCGGCCACGCGGAGGCCACGTTCCTTGGCCCGGCCACGCAGAGGTGCGGAGACCCCAGGCTCAACCCAGTCAAGCCAACCGAACTTCCTTCTACAACACGGAGAAGGTCGTCTTCTTCGTGGCTCCGCCACCCAGTCCCCATGCGCATGCCCACGTCCTTGCCGTACCTCCTCCCCACGCCGCTGCCGGGACACTCTCTCCCTTCTCCCCACCAGCCCACAACCCACCCAGAGCGTTCCCGTATTACACACGGTGCCTCAACTGGTTTCTCTCAAAGGGCATTGGTGGCTAAGCGGCCATTCATATATTTGGAGCCATATAGCAATAATAATGGTTTCCTTTTATGCATTTTACAGAATGTGTCACTGAAAAGGACCTGCACACAATATATACAAACGGGTAATAAATATTACTCGTGGGGTTTGAAATGAGACATCTTGGTCCTTAAAATGAAAGGTTGGTGGAGGCATTTTTAAACTTCTTCCCTTAAGACCCACTTCCATTTTCTCCCAGTAGAGGCAGCCTCGGGCCAGGGGCACAAATGGCCTTGCTCACTTGAGTTCCCCAGCCAACTTTCCATCATCTTGTATCTCCCGGTCTTGCGCGCATGCAAACACACACACACACACACACACACACACACACACACACACGAATCCCTCCTCAACAAGGGCTGCCCAGATGAGGAAAGAGTCCACATGCGTTGGTCAAGATCAGCTTCAAATATTCGCATTAAAATCCCAGTGCCAGCTTGGTGCCAACTCTCTGAGATTTCTGGCTGCTCCGTATTGAAAAAGGTAAAATATGAAATACAAGAAAGAAAACATTTGTCAGTAAGGGAGCCAGGGTCCCACAGAGCCACGGAGAACACCTACCTTTCTCAGAGAGGATCTCAGGAGCTACGTAAGTCGGAGTCCCGCACACAGTAAATATGGGTCTCACTACACGCTTTGCAAGGCCAAAATCAGCCAGTTTCAAGGTGGTAGATTTGTCCTCATTTCGCTGAACCTGTAAGAGCACAAAACCCCAGATCACCAAAACCGTGATGAGAACAAAGAAGAAAGCCGACAGGACAACCAACAGGCAAGATCGAGAGAAGCAAACAAGCCTAGAGGTGCACGTAGCTGGTAAACCCAACGTGACTCCAGCGACATGCGCTCACATTTTCAACTAAAAAATGAATGGGTTACCTGTGCTGTCCGACATGGTAACACCATATTGCCACAGATGGCGATTAAAACCAAATCAAATTGAGAATATCGTTTCTCAGATGTACCAGCCACATTTCAAGTGCTCACGGGCCACGGGTGGTTAATGGCCACCATATTGAACAGTCCACAGTGCAAATATAGAAGGAACATTGCCATCATTGCGGAAACTTCCATCAGGCACCACTGAGTTAGAACAAGGATCATTGATTTTTTGAGCAGGGACGGGCTTTAAGGAGGACTAGAAAATTCCTGTGGGTAACGCAGAGTCTGGGCAGAAGCAAAAAAGAAAGTGAAAGAAGTAGGGATTAGAAGGAAAGAAGTAAGCAAGCAGTGGGCAAAGCCAAGCCCAGGCCCTAATCTGGGGGCAGGGGGAGGCGTTAAGGACCAAACAGACCAAGAATCTTTAATTCCAAATCCAAGACTTGCGGCTGGATGGTCCTGGACTGATTTCTTTACTAATGGAAGCCTCTGTTTTCTCGTTTAAAAAGGAGGGGGGGGGGGCGACCATTTCTACAAAGTGGCTCATGTCAGGAGTTCCGTGCAGTGTCCACAATCGACCCTGCAAAGATCCATCTGGAGTAACCAAGGGTTCCAGGCTGCCGGGGGCTGAGGGGTCCCAGGATGTAAACCCAGGACAGGGTCACACAAACCGGGATGACGCGGCTGTCCGTGTCTGCACGTGACACAGAACTACTGCCATTGACCTGTGACCTAATCCCACACAGGACAAACGGACAGACCGGGCTCCGCTAACGTTTCTGCATGAAGGCAGAGGTTACGCTGATTCTCCTCGAGACCCCGTTCCCACGGGGCTTTAGAGAAGGGCGGGATCAGTCATCCTGAAGCCCAGGAAAGACGGCTGCCCTCGCCCTCAGCACTTTGAAACGGGCGGAGACCCGCCGCCCTCCTTTGTCCTCCTCAATGTGGATCCCGCCTGACTCTCGCTCTTTCCAACAAATCCCGCGGACTGGCTTCCCGATGCCTGGCAAGCCAGTTCCCCCTGCCAAGGGAACGAGTCCCGGCCTCCTTCACCCTCAAGGCCGTATGCGCGCTGGGGGGTGTGTGGGGAAAGGCGGCTGTTTGCCTAGAAGAAATGACGCTCAAGAGGTGAGTGTAAGTATTTGGACCACCATGCAAGGCGGGATGAAGGTGCAGACGTCGTGGGGGGCGAAGCGAGCATTATCTTGCAGCAAGTAAAGGCTGCATTGGCCCCCTCGGTGCGGTGGAGGGGGTTTTCCACTTTGGGGAAAGGTTAAATCAACGGGCACATCAGAACTCCAACCCCCTCTGATACTCGCTGGTACCCAGGTAAGTAAGGTAGGAAGGCATCCCACAGCGGGTCGGCTTGACGTCCACACGTCACACGATGTTAAGACTCCAAACAGCTGCCTTCCCCGTGGGAGTCTCACCTCCACGAAGCCTCAGGACACCAAGAAATAAAGGCGCGAGCCAAAGGGTCCTCACAGCCCCTCGTTCCCAGGGGGGTGGGGGCTGAGCACGCCTGGGCCACACGGGCCTGCTTCCAACTCTCTGGCTGGCGTGGCCCCGCTCTGGGGCTCTCCCTGCCCCCGCAGCCGGTCTGTGCACGCCTGGAAGATGCTGGCTCCGCATCAGGAAGGCGCTCCGGGCCCTCCAGCAGCCCTGCTGCCCAGCCATCACTCGGACCTCATTTTGTCCCAGGAAGGGGCGCGAGGCCCCTCCCGGGGAGCTGCGAAGGGTAGACTCCGCGAGCGCCGCGTCTTTTCCCCGTTTCGTCTGCCTCTTGGGAAAGGTGCAGGCGGCCCGCACAACACCTGCCATCGCATCCCACCGGGCGCCCTGCCTCCCGATAGAAACCACAATCCTCAGGGCTGCCAAGGTCTCAGGCCCGGAGGAGAGCCCGTCTGTAAGAGGGAAGAGAGAACAGCAGACTTTGAAACACAGAGAAAGTCCAGCTCTTACAGAGAGAATGACAGTGGTCGCCAGGGACGGGGGGGCGGGGGCGGGGGAGGGTGGTGCAAGGGCACCAACGTGCAGTCATCGGATGAAGATGTTCTGGGGGCGCCGGGGCAGCGCAGTCAGGTAAGTGTCCGACTCTCGATTTCAGCTCAGGTCGTGATCTCACAGTTTGTGAGTTCAGCCCAGAGTCAGCACAGAGCCCGCTTGGGATTCTCTCTCTCTCTCTCTCTCTCCCTCTTTCTCTGCCCCTCCCCTGCTTATTCTTTCCCACTCTCTCTCTCAAAATAAATAAATAAACTTTTAAAAAAAGATGAATATGTTCTGGGAATCCAATGTACAGCCTGGTGACCGTGGTTAATAATTCCGTATTGTGTACCTGAAATCTGCTAAGAGTAGATCTTAAACATCCTTACCAAAAATCAAAAAAGAAACGGGGGCGCCTGGGTGGCTCAGGTGGTTGAGCTGCTGACTTCGGCTCAGGTCACAATTTCACAGTTCGTGAGTTCAAGCCCCACATTGGGCTCTGTGCTGACAGCTCAGAGCCTGGAGTCTGTTTCAGATTCTGTGTCTCCCTTTCTCTCTGACCCTCTCCTGCTCATGCTCTGTTTCTCTCTCTCTCTCAAAATTAAATAAAAATTTAAAAAATTAAAAAAAAAAACCACCAAGGTAACCCTATGAGGTGATGAATGTGGGAATTAAGTTCACTGTGGGAATCCTTCCACAATGTATCCATGCATCAGATCATGCTGAATACTTTAAGTCTATTACTATTTTATTTGCCAATTACACTTCAATAAAGCTGGGGGGAGAAATTAATGCAGTTTTAATTAAAGCATGCATTTTATTAAATATAAGGTTACATGAGTTTATATTTGGGGTTTTTACCCAAGGCAAGTTCTCAACAAAACTTTATTTTCCACTTAAGAAAACAAATTAAAGGGGTGCCTGGGTGGCTCAGTCAGTTGAGCATCCAACCCTTTGATTTTGACTCAGGTCGTGATCCCAGAGTCGTGGGATCGAGCCCCGTGCTGAGCTCTGCACTGGGCGTGGCGCCTGCTTGTGATTCTCTCCCTCCCTCTCTGTTCCTTGTCTGTCCCTGCCTCTCTCCCTGTTCACATGCATGCTGTCTCTCTCTTCCCTCTCTCTCTCTCTCTCTCTCAAATAAAATAAATAAATAAATAAATAAATAAATAAATAAATAAATAAAGATGGCCCTTATTGCTGTCTTGACCCCAGGCTGCCAGCCAGTGTTCTGGGGACTCTTGGCCACATGGCAGAAATGCCCTGGGACCCAGCGCGGCCGAAGGTGTCCATGGCAAAAGCCCTTTTGGTCACAACTTGGTAAAATTCAGAGTTGAGAGACGGGCTCTGCCCCCTCCCGGGAGAAGTCTGCCTCTGGTTCTGCTGGGCGATGGGGCAGGGGGTGGGGGGAGGGGAGGCGGGAAGGTGCTGGGTGGGCTTCCTCTCGGCCTGCGCTGAAATAACCCTTTGCGGGATGAGTCGGGGTCACAGGCACAGACTCTGAAGCCCCACTGCCAGGGTTCGAACTCCAGCTCACGACTTTGCCCTCTGCGCCTCCACCTCCTCATCTGTAGAGAGGGGCGAATGGGATGTGTAATGACAACTTAAGAATTAACATTTCAAAGTGTGATAGACAGTGCCCGGCCCCTACAGCCTCCACATAAGCGGCTCGACGTAAGTGGAGTAAACCCTATTGTTTTGGCCTCCTGACCTCTCGGACAGCAGGACTGACTTCCGGCAAAATGGAAGTACCGGAAGTCGCCCTTGACACCCTCCTTCCCCAAACCAGAGGCCCCTCATCAGGCGCGGCCCTGGTCCGTCTCTGCTGCCGGCGCTGCACGCCCGCCGCCTACTCGGACATCGGAGCTGAGTGCTCAGGGCAAAGGTGAGCCGAGCAGTGAATCTCGGAGCTACAGGAAAACGGGGGCCCAGGTGACAGGCTGGTTGGGGCCACCAGAACCATGGGAGCAGCTATCACCGTCTGCAGGCGCACGCACCCACATCTCTGCTGGAATAGGGGCAAAGGTTCCCAGTGCTCCCGGCAGCGTTGGGGGGCGGGGGTGGGGGCCAAGGGCAACGGGAAGAAAGACTCTGGCTCTCCCTGTGCCCAACAGAGCCCAGCGTGCAGCAACACCCCAAAATCCAGGGCAGGCAGCCCCTCCCCGGCTCCCTCAGGCACGGGTAAGCTCTCGGAACTTGCTTTGGAGCCTGTCCAGCTCAGAGCCTGGAGCCTGTTTCAGAGTCTGTGACTCCCTCTCTCTGGCCCTCCCCTGCTCACACTGTCTCTCTCTCTCTCTCCTAGAAATAAATAAAAATATTAAAAAAAAAAAAAAGATCCGTGGAGTCCCTTGTCCCTTCCAGAAAGTGGCTCAAGGCCACTGATGGTTTTAACTCTCTGGTCTCCCACACCTGCTGTCCCCAGGATGTCACATCCTTTGGGACTGTCAGTGTGACTTGAGGCTTCTCGTTTACTTCACCTACATGAGCAGCTAAGTTACCCTGAAGATCATGCACTGACTGTGTGAGTTTTGTTTTGTTTTCAACAGGCACCTGCCATTCTCAGCTTCCGAGCAAGACCTATCATGATCTTGAAATCTAATGAGTGGCATCCTTCCGGGATAATGCTGCCTCCTGGCCTCTGTGGGACGTCTGAAACCATCAGATTTTCCCGCCCAGACAGGAACTTGCACCGACTACCGTTCGCCTCTGACTGAAATCTCCACGTGGAAAAGATTCCACCACTGATCCAGCAGCTCAGCCCACTAGTGGTCAGCTTCACTTGTGAGGAGGTTCACCCCTATGTTGATTCCAAATTCTGCCCCTACCCTGTTTTCTAAG